CCCCCACCCCCAGCTCCCCTCCTCCTCCCGGGCCTCCTGCCACCACCAAAGCTGCTGTGTTCCCTCCCCAGCTTCACAGTTGGTGAAGACCAAGTGTGGCCTCAGCAAATCCTGCCAAGACAACTTCTTTGCGTTTAAAATTGTCAGTGGGGCCGCCAACGTCGTGGGCCCCACCATGTGCTTTGAGGACCAAATGTAAGTTTCTGGCATTTCATTACTTTCATGCCTTCATTCATCAGCAAGTTCGGAGGCCTCAGGGTGGCCCTGAGACCAGCCCACACCTTCCACACACTTCCTTTTACTCTGGGTGGCTTAGTCAGACATAATAATAATCCTGATGGCTTGCAAATCTGCCAGCGCCTTCCTAGATGCCTTGCAGCACCATCTCCCTTGCAGCCCAGCACTCCTAGAGGTGGGCGATAATTCTCCCCTTTGTAAAGATGAGGAAACTAAGACTCAGACAGAGTTACTCAGCTAACCATTGGTGGAGCCAGATGTGAACGCCAGTCTGTCTAACAGCCAAGCTGCTGGGCTTCCTGTGAGGGCCGTGCCTATGGGGAGTGTTCAAGATCAAGGCCAGGCATCAAAGCCCAGAGGCAGCAGTCCCAGGGCTTCTGCCCAGGTGCAGGAAAAGACTGTGTTTCTAGGTAGTAACTTGCTGCCTGGGGCAGCAAGTCCATCCTACAAAAGAAGCCAGAGACAGGAATCTGGAATCTGACCCTAGCTCCAGATTGCTTAGGCAGAACAAGATTTGCTGGTTCGTGTGCCCAAAAGCCCAGAGACAGTGGCCATCAGAAACAGCTGAATCCAGGGGTTCAAACCAAGTCATCAAGGCTCCCTCTCATACCACCTTCAGCTCTGCTTTCCTCTGTCACTGGATTCGGTTTTCTCTACTGAAAATGTACTTCTTCATGTGGTGAAGGAGGGCGGCTACCAGCTGGGTTGACGGAACAGCACCCCACTGGGAAGAGCTTCCCCATGTGAATTAACCCTGTGAAAGCCCCGAGACTGGGGCTCATTGGCTGGCCTAGGTCACACGACCACGCTGGCCTAATCACTGTGATCAGTGGCACAGCATACTCGCTTGTATGCTGGGAGAGAGGTCCGTGCTGAGAACCTCCTAGCCAGAGACAAGAGAAGGACAGTTTTCCCAAGGACATAGAGGACAGGATACTGGGAGGCAGGAACACAGCTGGGCTCCCCTTGGGGACCCCAGACATGGGGGACTCTGCCCTCCTCCTGGCCTGGGGAGACGGGCTGGCCGCCCCCAACACCTCCCAGCCCCAGGCAGGGACCCTCCCTGTTCCCCAAGCAGACTGTTCTGGTCCAAACGTGCCGTGAGAGACTCTCAGAGAATCCAGCCCACTGCTCACCTCCAGAAGAAAGCAGATGGCCCACATGATTCCGTGTATTCTCTGACACTTCTGCAGTGCACTGTGGGGCCCTCGCAGAGTTCCGGAGTCTGGAACACATAGTGCTCCCTCCACACTCAGGACCAATGGTTGTGTTTTGTTTCTCTTCTTTTCCTTTAGGATCATGAGTCCTGTGAAAAACAATGTGGGCAGAGGCCTGAACATCGTCCTGGTGGACGGTGAGTTGCTGACCCGCTCCCGGACAGCCTCCAGCATGCTCCTAAGCCTGGCTGGCCTGTGGGAACAGGTCTAACAGACCAGGTCTACCCAGCAGTCGCAGCCAGACCCCTGCCTGTGCACCTGTCTCGGGAGAATCAGTTCAGTTCAGTCGCTCAGTCGTGTCCAACTCTTTGCAACCCCATGGACAGCAGCATGCCAGGCCTCCCTGCCCAGCACCAATTCCTGGAGTTTACTCAAACTCATGTCCATTGAGTCAGTAATGCCATCCAACCATCTCCTCTCGCCTTCAATCTTTCCTAACATCAGGGTCTTTTCAAATGAGTCAGCTCTTCGCATGTGGTGGCCAAAGTATTGGAGTTTTAGCCTCAATATCGGTCCTTCCAATGAATATTCAGGACTGATTTCCTTTAGGATGGACTGGTTGGATCTCCTTGCAGTCCAAGGGACTCTCAACAGTCTTCTCCAACACCACAGTTCAAAAGCATCAATTCTTTGGTGCTCAGTTTTCTTTATAG